TATAACAAGCATGACAAAAATTATGCAAAAATATAAACCTGTTGAAGATGGCAGAATGCAAGATTTTGCCGAGATGGATTGCTCATGGGTCTATAATATGGCGAGTACACCTAGTTTGTATAAAAACATAATCAATTAATTCACAAACAACATTGGTACACTAAGTCACTAAATGGTTAGTATAATTACTATCTAATTACCTCCGGAGTCTTGTTTGCAGTCATTCCAGCATGCATGGCATTCCAAAGATGAGTTGAAGTATTCTATTAACAACAAATATATATTAAAATCAATAAATTAAATATATGAATGAAACAATAGTTTTGGCATGGACAAATATTTAATTACCACACGACTTTCTTGTGTTGCAACTTTGACAACAATATTTGATCCAATTGGACCACTAGTGTGTACAACACCATCATTCATTATAAGTGGAATATTTTGAACCTTTAGATAATAGATATAACACTTTCAGGCTATATAACTAAAAGGAAAACAACAAAGTAATAAAAAATCATGTCCATGCTACCTTTTTCCTTTTCTGCATTTGCATGCCTCTTTTTCCATCATTAATTATAGGTGGATTCTTCAATTGTTTTGCTTGAGAGACCTGCAAACGAAGTATTGAAAAAGATTTATACAACTTGACAAATCAAATGCCAATATAATTAGATAAAAGGTTTTTCATAAAAATATCTTCTTTCCTTTACTTGCTATTTTCTCAACTAATGATTCTTTCCTTTTCGAAGGGGGACGACCTTTGGTTCGCGCTTTCAAAGGAGTAAGCAACGTGTTGTCAGCACCTAGAAGATGTTGATTAATTTGTTTACTTTCACAATTTGAGTCCGTTGCAATGAGCTTCTTCCTTGTCTCATTCAATAATGAAATTAAAAGCTCACATTTATCATCGGATTCTGTCCCAAGCTCTTTAAGTTCACGAAACAGTGGAATCAACTTATTATTGCGGTGCCTCTGTTTATTATTGCTAAAATCATTGTAAGCATTTTTGACAAAAGTGTACCTGCGCTTAATATCCTTTCGCCAACGCTCAAGAATATAATGAGATGGAACCTCATTCACCTTTTCTTTGATCATCACAGAGACTACATGCCTACACAAAATTCCCTTAAACTCAAACAGATGACATGTGCATTGTACTTTACATTCAGTCTCGCTATAGAAAACCTGATAATCCACCTCTTTCCAACATAGGCCATTTTCTCTTGTCAAACTTTCTGTCACTTCAAATGTGGAAATTAACCCTTATTTCTTAATAGTAGAGACATTACAATACATTAAACCTTTCAACTCATCTTGAAATTGCTTAAAAATGTTATGGGTATAAACATTCTGCAACTACCTTTCAATAGCAAAACGAGTTATTGTCGGAATGGCAATACTGAAAGACACAAAATCTGCCATACTTTCTTTCTCAATCTTACTTTTTAAGGCATTGTCATATTGTTCAACAAATTGCTTCAAGGTGGTTTTTGAGTGAACATACTCATCAAAAAAAGCATTCATGCTTTCACTTCGTTGGGTAGTTGACATTCCAACCCAAAAAGTGGATTTCAAATACACTGGAACCCAACGATGACGATCTTCATATAATGACTTCAAATATTCATTATTCTCAAGGTTGAACTCATTAATCATTTCCACCCAACTTCTTTCAAATTCATCAAACTTAAGCGATTCGTATACAATATTTTTTAAAATCTTTTTAATTGCTTTATACTGGGCAAGTCCCCCCAACTTCACAGGAAGTTTTTTCATGATGTGCCAAAGGCATAGATGATGATGAGAATTTGGAAACACCTTTAAGATTGCTGCTCGCATGGCTTTGCATTGGTCTGTTATAATGGCTTTGGGAGCTTGTCCTAGCATACATGCCAACCATGTCTCAAATAACCAAGTATAAGTATCGGTATTCTCGTTTGATAATAAACCACAACTAAGTAACACAGACTGCCCATGGTGGTTCACCCCGACAAATGGAGCAAACGGCATATCATACCTATTTGTAAGGTATGTACTATCAAATGCGATAACATCTCCAAATGACTGATAACCGGCCCTACATCTTGCATCCGCCCAAAATACATTCCTTAAACGCCCTTTATCATCTATATCAATCATGTAATAGAAATTTGAATTCCTATTTTGCATGCAACAAAAATACTTGCAAAGGGCTTCAGCATCTCTAATCCCAAGTCTCAGTTGTCCTGCTTTTGCTATATAATTTCTACAATCCCTCTCACTGAACGATAAATTTTCATAGTTACCAGCTTCAACAACAAGTGCATGAAAATTTTTATTCAACTTTATTCCTGCTAAGTCATTTAATTCCAATCTTCTCTTAACATGAGAATCTAGTGCTTTGTTACATCGGAAGTGTCGTGCCTTGGACTTAATGCATGATTGTGATCAAGATAAACACGAGTAACAATGAAATTCCCATTCTCTTTAACTGTTACATTGATTTTTGCCTTACAATTTGTCTTAGTTGAAGGCCTTGGGTTAAAAGAGTTTTTTGCAATTGATACTAACTTACCATTTCGAAAGCATGCAAGTGAAAAGTATCTTGATTAACTATCACTTCCGTTTTTTACGGCAGTTTTTGCTATACCAAAACCTTGACATTTAGCATAGTTGTTATAATAACTATGTACTTCTTCTTCAGACTGAAAAATCATCCCAGCCTTGGGTGTTTCCACTTCATCCAAGTCTTGCTCAGTTCCTTTATCATCACTACTAATCTCATAGTTATAAGGCATTTCACATCTTGCACATGGGGATTTTCTACCATTTCTAATAAAATAAAAATTGTAGTAAACAGAATTTTCCAAAAAAAAAATTAAAAAAAGAATTGTAGTAAACACTTATGAAAGTAAAGCAACAAAGTTAAACATTTATGATTAAAAACATAACAACAAAGTTAAGCACTAATGATGAAAAACAGAGCACTGATGATAAAAATTATCATTAATTTTTATTTTTATTTTATTTTATTTTTTTATTTTTTTATTTTATTACACCTGTATTGCATTCTTTAGAGTACATGCATCTGATATCAGTATAGATAATTCACATCAAAATTAACCCAAACAAACATCAAAGACATTCTATTTATTTTTTTGGAAAAAAAAAAAATCCATCTCAAACCACATATCAAACACATGGAATGCATATACTTCAATCTATCTCCTTGAAATTTTTTTAAAGACTAGTCTAATACATTCAGACTATAGTCACCGCGGAGGTGAGTGGAGGAAGAATCCATCTAGGTTCACCAAAGAATGTTCTAATCTTACTGAAAATAAGAAAAAGAGTTTTCCAACAATCATACAAGAAAAATGGGCTAAGGTTGGAGTGATCCAATTCGATTCAAAATTTCTTTCAACCGGAAAGGGATTTGACTCTCCAGGCACATCATAGGAATGAACTTGGTGCTTGGCTACAACAAAACCACTTTGTTTTCCAATCAATGTAAGTGGGAGATGAGGTTCAGGCTTTTGGTGAAGAACAATATGATCAAACGAATAAATATATATTTACCTTCCCTAAAAAAAAAAAAAAAAAAAAAAAAACTATATAAGATACAATATATATAAATATATATGAATATGATATGAAGTTGTAACCATATCTTAAAATAAAAGGTTCTTCCTTTCTTCAAGTTAAGATTGTAAGAAATATTATTTGAAGAAGAGGGAGAGATTTGATAGAGAAGAACTTAGCTTTAGAACTTCACAGCTTGGGAAAGATAAATTTGCGCGTATATTGTTTCTCTTTTTGTTTTATTTTATTTTATTTTATTTTATTTTTTTGCTTACCTGGACTGTTATGTGTATTCTGCCAAACTAATTGGCCAAAATCATCCCCATCTATCACTACCCTTAAAAAAAAAAGAAAAGAAAAGAAAAGAAAACAACGTATAAAAGATTCATTTTTACTATAATTAATTAATTGCAGCAAGGTCATATATCTGATTTATTGGATGCGGGAGATTTGTAGAGACGCGTCCCTTGTTGTCATACATAAAAGGGTTTCGTAACCCTATATAACTCCATCGTACGACTATTCTTGACAAGGGGTAGAGCACTTTAATATTTTGTACGAAATTATCAAAAGACTTTTTTATGAAATCTAGAAGTATTATATGATTTAATCATCAATAGTTACGCTGGCTAAAAACTCCTAAGCTCTCTTGATTTATACAAATAAGAAAACCCATTAGATGCCTATCAAAATTAGTGATGTCGGTTTGGTTTCTCAATCTTGATGCCACGGCTATAATAATCTCACGGTTGTGTGAGGAAGAACAAAACAGGTATACTCTCAAAACTATTGGAATAACAACAATAAATAGATTCTTTTTTCATATTCTACATTTGAGTGCAAACAATCTTCGATTTGAATTTAGAATTGAAAAAAATTTAGTTCAAAACTTTAACTATTTTCTTTCTATCCCAAATTCAAAGCAGTTTTTATCCTAAATTCAAAGCAGCTCAAAAAAAACATTTTTCTTCCCAGTTTTTCTTTTAAGTTTGTTTTACAAAAATAGTATTTTAAGCTTTTATTTTTAAAATAAAAATGTAACAAATAAATATTGGGGATTATATATGACTAATATTTTTTCCCTTCTCAGTGGATTTAAATATGTTATCCTATTGGTATAAAATATTGCTTAATCTGTATCTAAAACATTGTTAAAAAGTATAAGAGAAGTTAGTACGTTACAAAGTCTGACTAAAATAAAATATTAAACTATCAATGAACAAAGTATAATTAAAATAAAATACTAAAATATCAATAAACAAAGTGCAAGTAAAATAAGATAAGGATACCATATAAAATAAAATATTAAAATACTAATAAGTAAAATTCAACTAAAATAAAAATAATGGGTTAGAGTGTTTTAAATCATTAATTTATAAATAATATAATAAGATAATTTAAATAAAATACAAATAAGCAAACTACAACTAAAATAAAATATTAAAAAATACCAGTAGAAGTCTCACAATATCAATTTCTCTCTCAATCGGTCGCTCGTGAGGTTTTTGGGGTCTGAGAAAGTACTACCAACAACACATCCACGATCTTGGGCTACAGGTTCGACAGATTTTAAGCTTACTTCGCATGGTAATATGAATTATAGGTGTTATCTGTATCTATAATCTGTATATGTTTCTCAATTCTTGTGTCATACTTCGAGGAATAATCATCAGACATAAGCCCTCGAAAGAACAATAAATCTTGGTTAGAAGAGCTGCCGTATGAGTTTTAGGGATTCTTTGAAAAAAAAAAACTTAGCAAAGGTTTGATTTTCACTTTGTTGTTCAAAAATAAAAAAAAAGGAAAAAGAAAAATAATTGTTTTTTTATGTTTCTTCATGTCTTGTTTGTTCAAATTATTGAAAAAGTAGATTCAGAATTGAATGAATGATGGTATAAGCTTGAGCTCTATTGTGAGTGTAAGTAAGGCAGAGGTTTGTTGCATATGTAGTGGTGGAAATATGTACTACTTTTCATGCAAATTAATTTTGAGTAAATTTAGGGTCAATAAACATTTTTTTTCATGACTTTTCATTCATTCATGGGTATTGACAACTATTATTGATCAAAAAATAAGATCAATAATTCATAATTTTTTGTACTTCAGAAAAACCAAGGCTGTCTATAAACATGAAATAACTCTTGTAGAACATTTTTTTTTTTTAAAAAAAACAATTAGTAGTTTAGTAGGGTTCATAAAAACATCAGCTATTGAGGACACAACCACAACTCGCTTAACACTTGCTTCAGAACATGCCTCAAGTACAGTTTGTGTACCCTTTACATTATGCTCAATCAATTTTACCTATAATAAAGCTATTATTAGATAATATGAGAGATCTTTTTAAGCGGCTGATTTTTTCTGATTATCTTTTATAAACATTTACACCTTCAGATCGATAATATCCAGTGACCTTTTTGTTCTACTTCCATCCATTCCTATGATTTTTTCTATTCAGCTTCAGAATAAATGCCAAATTTTGCAATTGAAACTATTGTTGTATAATGTTGGCATATTAATTTGTGATGTTATTTCTAGATCTAATATGTTTTTAGATGAATCGGTTGGTTTTACTGTTGTATGGTGGTGAGATTTTTTATTTTTATTTTTTCTTTCAGTTTGTATTCCTTGTAATGCAACTTCAGATCGATAAGAGAAGTATTTTGTATTCTTTTTCCATTGCCTTTTTTTTTTTTTTTTTTTCTCTCTCAATGAGGTTGACGGGAATTTGGAGACTCTGGGGAGAAGTGATTCCAGATTTTCTTTGGGATTTCTCTCTGGACTGTTCTCAAAGGCAAGGCAAGAAAAGGTATTGGGACATAAGGACCATGATAACCAAGCAACTCCCTTTGATCAGTTGTAATTGTGGAGTACCTTTGTATATATAGATTTAAAAGAACTAAATATAAGAAGTGAATTCTTTTTTCCCTTTGGGCGGTCCGGTAGAAAAATCAGACTTGGCATTGTTGTTGTAAACCAGTCTCCGAGAGGTGGTGAGACTTTCTTTTTCTTTTTATTTTTTTGATTTTGATTTTGATTTTTTTTTTTCAGTTTGTATTCTTTGTAATACAATTCAACTAAGAGAAGTATTTTGTAATCAAATTTGCTTCCCGAAACTACTCTTTATAGACATGTAAAATTCATAATCAAATTTGCTGTGAAATTTTGTTGCTTCAGTCACGGGAGATATGACTCATACACAAATTTATGTTTCTGAATATGTACTTTTAGTTTATAAAGCACACTAGAACCGATGACTCAGTTTATTTTTATATCATATAGTGAAGGATATAGATTATGACAATTTTTATTTTTAACTATTTTTAATTTTGGGTAATATTCGGTTGTGTATTAAAATTTGATTCTCAATCTATGTTGTCTAGTATTTTGATTGATTGGTTCGATTTTTGTATTTATCTTCCAATGAATCTGATGTTTGTAGCAATAGAGACATATTTTTTGCAATCTCAAATATAATTTCACCACGCGCACATGTCTTTTACTAGTAAAGAAAAATGTTACATGTAACCCTTCAACACATGTGCCCTTTGTAGAAAGTTGATCAATTTCTGAAAGGGGGGGACTGCTGGAACAGGAAGAAAGCCCTTTGCCACCCGAAGACTAGGGTTTAGTTTTCTCTGTTGTTCTGCCGCATTTAGAAGCCATCTCTCACTGAGAAAGATCTTCATCAGAGACATGGTTAGCAGAGTTGAAATTTTCTCTCTTTCTTTCGAGTTTTCAATTCATATTATTTCTCTTTCTTTATATATATATATGTGCACACACTTTGATTTTGTAGTAATCTTGTTTCTGTTGTTGTTGGATATTTGCAGTCGCCAGTGCCTGGTGAAGAGTTTCAGCACATTCGTCGTGTGCAGAACACGAATGTCGATGGCAAAGGTATTGGCCGTCGTTCGGGTCGTCGACCGTCTCCCGATTACTCAAGCTATAGAAAAAGCTCTAGATCCGAAACCCTAAATACAGATTTTGTAAGTGGAAATAATTATATTTGCAATTTTTGTCGTTATTTAATCTGAGAGTTCAGGGAATTTGTGTTTTCTTAATGGAGTCTTAAATCATAATATTAACGGTCTGAAAGTTAGCAGAGAATGGAGCTTTAGGGTTTAATATGTAATTTATGGTTTCAAAATCGAGTTTACTCATTAATTTGGATTTCTAACATTTCATTTTAATGAAGTTTGTGATTCCAAAATCTTGTTACTTTTTACTTTATTTTATGCCCAAATATGATTGTTGTTCATGTATGGCATCACATTTGTTGAAGGATTTTTCTCTCTTTAATCTTTGTTGTTCCTGTTAACTGACTTCATGCTTAGGGTTTAATATGTGATCAAAGGAATGGGCGGGTTGCAGACTCCGATTCGGATGAAGAGTTGAGAGGTCTGAGTTTTGAAGAGTACCGGAGAATCAAACGTCAGAAAATGAGGAAGATGTTGAAGAATTGTATATGGAATGTCACACCAAGCCCTCCTAGAAACGGGAACGAACGGTATGAACTGGAACTGGAGGAAATTACACAGAAGTATGGCGAGGAGAAAGAAAACAATGACGATTCAAGAGAGAAAGAAAAAGGCATGGAGAAGATGAAATCGAAACTGGATTCTGGAAGCTCAAGAAGTGGTTCTTCGGATTCTGAATCTGGTTCGGCTTCTCAGTCAGACGATTTGCTGTCTGAATTAGATGATTCATGGTCAAGGAAAAAGAAAAAGGGCAAGAGTTTGAGTTCTATGCGTAAAAGTAGGAAATCGGTATCTGCAAGCGACAGTGAATTGGATGAGTCCAGTGATGGCTCAGAAGAAGATAGGAGACGGAGGAGGAAGACATGGAGGAGGAGAAGTAGTAGGCCAAACAAGGGCAGTAAGAAGAGTAGTAAGAGAAAAAGTAGTAGAAGGAAGAGCAGTGATAGCGATTCAGATGAAAGCCTGGGTGAAAGTGAGGAATCTGATGTCAATGGACGTTCAAGTGATCGTGTGAGGTCGAAGAAGCTGAGGCACTCGAAGAAGAAACATCCTAAAACTGATGGTGAGAGTTTATATTCAAAGGAGAAGAATTCTGAATCTGAAATCGATGCAAAAACTATACCTCAGGTGGACGATGCTGGGATAAATGAAATTAACAGTGAAGTGCTCATGTTCAAAGATTTGATTGAATCACAGAAGAAACCTGCCTTGGATGATGAGCCAGTGGTCGGGCCAATGCCTTTGCCTAGGGCTGAAGGACATATTAGTTATGGAGGGGCACTTAGGCCTGGTGAAGGTGATGCCATTGCTCAATATGTTCAACAAGGGAAGCGTATCCCTCGTAGAGGTGAAGTTGGTCTTTCAGCTGAGGAGATTCAGAAATTTGAGACTCTTGGTTTTGTGATGAGTGGTAGTCGGCATCAAAGGATGAATGCTATTCGTATTAGGAAAGAAAACCAGGTTTATAGTGCAGAGGACAAGAGGGCGTTGGCTATGTTTAACTATGAGGAAAAAGCAAAGCGTGAGCACAAGGTTATGGCTGATCTGCAGCGCCTGGTGCAACGCCACATTGGGCAGGATACTGGCCCTTCTCATGATCCTTTTGGTGGAAGGTCCACCGAGGGTGCCGATATGTAATCCGCATGTATGTCATTTTTTCTTTTTTCTTTTTCCCGTTTCTGGATTTTTGACTTCTTTGTTAAGTTTCCATTTCTCTTTCAATTATTTTATATTCCCTCAGTTTGTTTTAGCATGTGCAATAATGACTAATTTGAGTGTGTGAATCATTTTGTAGAATAGTTCTTCATTATATGCATAAATGTTACTATATTATCTGATGATCTAGAAGAATATTATGCTTGCAAAGTTTTCAGAATTGTTAATGTGATGAAAATGAAACAATATAGGTTCAACACATTGCTATTGTTTGGAACATCAGGCAATTGAGGAAACTGGTAATAATTTTCAGTAGACAATTTTGATTATAAATAGGGAGGGTGCCTAAAACATGTATTGTCTAAATGAATCACTAGTCAATAGATTTTGGTGTAGAAACTTCTTGGACAAAAACGGTGTCGTTGATGACATGGATGGTTATCTCAATTATTTGGGACACCAAGCCTTCCTGGTAAGCTTCTTCTTTGATGTGTTCTTTTTGTTTTTTTGATTTCATCTTGTCCTGATTTTCTTTGGCTGACTTTTCACTTTTATTCATCCCCTTTTCCGTATTTGGCTTCTTGACATGAATGAAATTTTCTTTAAGCTTCAATATGTATTATTAGCAGAATTCAAGTAGTTCCATTGAATGCTGATACCTCTTACTGATGTTTGGAAATGTGAAATGTGGTACACACAAGCATGCACGTGTACAAATAACAAATTTGGGGCTGGTGGGTTTTGAATAGAATCGCAAACCAAGCTATAAATTTGGTTTTACTTCAGGAATTCCACTATCAAAAACCCAGTTGTAATTTGGCTTTAAGGTTGGTTGTTTTAGAAGAAACATAAGTTGTGGCGTCTCATCTGAAACTCTTTTATTGTTGGACAGCATTGTGTTCCAATGAACGGAAAAAAAAAGAAAAGAAGAAGAAGAAGGAAAACGATGCTTGTAAGAAAGAAAATAAGAAGGAAAAAGATGCTTGCAAGGAAAGTAATTGTTGTATGATATGTTTTACCACATTACAAATGATATGTTTTTCCTTGGAGGAGGACAATTTTGATGTGAACTAATTGTTGTATGCACCCATTCACCTTAGGTTTAAAAAATTAAATAAATGAATAAAAGATAAAGAATCCACTGACCTTGGAGACGTGCAATGTTCGTGTGTGATAATCTCTTTATGAACCTAGTAAAGGAATTTGGACACAATGAAACATAAAGCTTGAAACTAGATCTTGGGGATTGATTTTTAGAAATTGTCATGTTCTGTTTGGGACACCAAACCTTCCTGGTAAGCTTCTTCTTTGATGGGTTCTTTTCGTTGTCTTGATTTTCTTTGGCTGTCTTTTCACTTTTCTGAATTTGGCCACTTCATATGAATGAATTTTTTTTTTTTTTTTGAAAGTTTCTATATGCAGAATTTAAATAGTTTCATTGAATTTTTAAGCCTCTTACTGATGTTAAATGTGGAATAGGGTACACACAAGCATGTACATGTACAAATAACAAATTTGAGGCTGGTGGGTTGTGAATAGAATCACAAACCAAGTTAAAATATGGTTTAAACTTCACGAATTCCACAATAAAAAACCAGCTGTGTGGTCTAATCTGAAACTCTTCTATTGTTAGAAAAGAATTGTATTCCAAAAGAATGAAACAAATGGAAAAAAAGCTTGCAAGAAAAATATCTTTTTTTGATTTAAAAGTCCGTGGTTTACCACATTAGAAATGATATGCTGTTCCTCAGAGGCGGACAATTTTCATGTGAATTAATTGTTTTATGAACCCATTCACTTAGGTTTAAAAATATAAAAAAAAGGTAAAAAATAAAAACAAGAAAAGAATTTGGACATGGAGTATTCGCGTGTGATAATCACTATATAAACCTAGCAAAAGAATTTGGACACAATGAAACATAAAGCTTCTATATCCTGGGGATTGTTTTTTAAAAAATCATTGGTAATACCTACGGTACTTTTCATATTCTCCTCTTTATTTAAAAATTCCATAGTTTGAACCATAGAGGTTTTATGGTGCCAAAACAGTTGTAGCATAGTGGTAGAAGTGACGGTGAAAGAGAGGTGTAGGATGAGGAGTTTGATTCTTGCTACTGTCAGTTGTAGTGGTCTTGTGGTTTTTGGTTTCTGAGGAAAGAAAGGGACAAAGAAGTGAAAGATTCAGGATCTTCTGTTGATTGTGGCTGGACTGTTTGTTTTAAGCTTCCAAACTTCATTAACTTTTCCTTTCTTAGAAACAAATAAAGTATTAATGCACTGCCTTCTGTTTGGGTTGGAAAGGTTCCTTTAATTTTTCACTTGTTTCTTTCCTCCATTTATTCTTCACAGAGCATGGATTTATTACATTTAATATTTTTAGTTTTATATTATTAGTGGGGGAGTGCCACGCTACTTGAAATGTTGTATTTATATGTTATATGCTATGACACATCAATCAAAGAACAAATGGGCATTCAAAGTATATCAAAATGGTGTCTGCAGTCAAACTTTTTATACGTGTTATTTATGTTATTTTTTTATGAAAACAATGTTGCATTCATACATTAAAACTCTCATTTTCTTTGAAAGTTTCGTTGGAGTTACGTTAAATTCTTGTTGAGACTTCTTTAGAGACATATCTATCCATCCATCTATATGGAATAGAAGAAGAATAGATTACTATTTAGTGACTGAACCAATCACTTCCATACCAGTTCCAACCTAGAGGAATGTTATGGTAAAACTACTTTTGGAGCGATGTGGTAGAAAACAGCGTGCGATTTGAAGGACACAATCTGTTGTGGATTCTTACATCTATCATTTTATATAGAAATGAAAGTACTCTTTGGCTCGAGATTGTTTGTTCTGCTCCACTAAAATAGAACAAACGATGATGCAGGAGCAGGGAAAATTTCTGTTTGTTCCTTAAGGAGACTGGAAATTTTAGGTGCTTTTTCCTCATCAGGGGAAGGGCAAGTGCTAGAGCTGTTTTGGCTCCTTCATCAGCTTGTTTGTGCTGCACATTCTGACTTTTTGGTCAACAATTATTGAATTAGGCAACTAGATTGGACTAAAGTTTTTCTCTTTCTAATTTGTTATTGAAACTGTACTTGTTTATCTCATCTTATGGTGGTACACCACTAACCAGCCTATATTTTAAATTTAAATTAAGTGAAGACTGGCAGATAGTTTTAATACCTAACAACTCAATAAAGCCTTTTGAGTCTGCTGCATGGTTAGTGTCCTGTGTTTTATTCGACTTAGGCATATTTTTGGCTAGATCATATACTTGTAACTTTGCTTTTCATCTACATAAATCTATGGTTTTTTGGCTTTCCTTTAGTCCTTGCTCCAACTTTTTATATGTTTAAACCAATTTAACTGCCGGTCTTTCCTGTTATCGATGCTACCTCTAACATCTATGCATTTATATATGCATCTTTTTATGTTTTCGTATTTATGCTTTGGCACTCATCCATCTCAAGATTTGCATATTGGATGGGAAATATCATGTTCAGCTGCATATTTATATGATCAATCATCTTGTTATTTTCTTCACGATATTATGTTGCAGTTATTAGCAAAGCAAGTAATGATCTTACATTAATGGATGTTTTATTAAATGTGTTGTTCTGTCAGTTCTCAATCCTAAAGATACCTTTCTTTTGGCAGTGATAAGGCCTTCTTTGTGGACCTCTTTGTGAGAGCATCAAACACACTGGCCATAAAGATGTATGAAAAGGTAGTGGTTCTCTGACCTTTTTATTTCCTTTGACAAATTCTAGAGCTAATATCATCTTTCATATGAGGTTGTGAAAATCGGGTGATGATTTAAAATAGGGTTCGGTGCAAAAAACCCCCACTACACTTAAGGTTTTGTGCACGATGACCCCCTCTTTTTGAAAAGTGAGCACTGTCAGTCCCTATTTTTCAAAAAAAGGGTGCAATTCCCCCCCCCCCCCCCCCCCCCCCCCCCCCCCGCAACCACTTTTTGGCGAAAATTGACATAAATTAAATTTTAAAACCCGATTTTTCCCTTCTCACAGTATATGTATTAAAACCCCTCCCATCCCATTTTGTGTATGCCTTCACTCTCTCTCCCTCCCATAATCTGTTGCTACCAATATAATCCACAGGTTGCATTACAATTATATTCCACAGGTTGTGCTTGTTTCCAGCTGCTTGTGTCATCCTTCCCCAAAAAGCCCCTGTTTACTCTCTGTATACATATCGCATTACTCTCTATCCTTCACAATCTCATAATATGAGTGGCAGTACTAGAGTGAGAAATAAAAAATTTTAGATAAGAGAAATTAGTGATGGAGATGGTGCAGGGATTGATGGGAAGGTCGGGTTGAAATTATTATTTTTTTTTAAAATTTTTTTTTGATGAGTGGTTCAGGTCGTAATTTAGAACTAAAAAAGACCATACAATTGCTCTAAGTCTACATCAGCCCATTTAAACTTCAATTAGCATAAGAAACATATGCTCCTGGTTCTCGGTGTGTCTCAGTCTTCAAAGACCTCTCAAAACTGAGGTAATTGCTAGGTGCTCTGATGCACACATGTCATGAAAGATGCCAAATCTAAGCCTCCCACAACTATCAAACCTAAGCCTCCCACAACTATCAAACCTAACTTGTGAACAGAAAATTGGAATACCACCATTGACTTTAGTTACAAGCAAAAATAGCAGAAGATGAAATTATCAAGCCCTTAGAAGCATCAACTGGATATTGTACCTTACAATGGAAAACACCAAAACATGCCCAAACGAAAAAATAATAATAAATAAACCAATAAGTAAAAATCAGAGATTTTTGCCCCAAAAGATAAAGACAAACGCATTAAGGTCATTGAAGATTTCACACTAACAATAATTATCCACAGGACGCTATGCCTTGGTAGCAAAACCAACGAGCAGAGCTGATGTGAGTATTGTGGCGATGTCATACCCAGGTTTAATGCACCTTCTACACTTAAGTCAAATACTAAAAAGAACCATAGGACGTGTATATGTGTGTGTGTATATGTTTATGGGTGTGAGTTTGGGAATTATCTAAAATGGTAATTTAACATTGCCTGATTTTTTAAGTATTATTTCATTCTCCTTACAAGAGGGCATTATAGTCCTTTTATGTGGACCGGGGGGAGGGGGGGGATAGGGGTATTTGCACCAAATTATAAGTAGGAGAGTTTTTTGGGCACTATATCGATAGTGTAGGGTGGGTTTTTTGCACTTAACCCTTTAAAATAGGTCAAATGAAATCTCATTATTTGTTCTTTCTAAAATGGCTCTTCTTCTTTTCACTTCAGGAATTGTACCACCAGTTTGCCTATAAACCCCCTTATGAACATTATTTCTTTGTGGAATAAAACTCTTAAAACAATCGAATTTCATTTTAGTTGTATTCATGTGTTTGCAGGTGCGTGGCCATCTCATAGCTTGAAAAGATATAGAAAATATTCATATGAAGTTCCTATCAATGTGTAATATTTGTGAAAAATACTACTAACTCCACTATCTGATGGACGATGCCGGTTGTTGAACTATGCCCCAATTGTCTTGTGCCGAGGAGATAACTGGTTCAATATATAACAATGTCCAAATGTTGCATGCTCAAAGTTCGTTTTTATTAGACTGGTGATTTTTTTTTGCAAGAACTGCCTGGTAAATCATGTATTGGTGTTTTCTTCAATGTCACTGTTTATTATCATATGCTCATTTGATCTACCTTTTTGGCTCAGCTTAATTATGTAGTCTATAGGCTTAGGCGATCTCTTTATTCAGTCACAAAATGCCTAGTTTGCTTTATAATTTGTGCTGCCTCTCATTTTCGTGTAACTTTTGCGACTCATTTTCAGATCTGAGGAAGGCATTATCTTGGGATGTCGAAAAGAAGTCCATCGATCATACCCTTCAAAAGGCCAGTTACTCCGGTCGAACTGGAGTATGATTAGAATTATTATTGTTGAACTTGTGCAAACTGAAAGTGATGGAAATGCATCACCCCACCGCGCTTCTGGCTTTTAGACACGCAGAGAAGGCATCCAGATTGGTTCCAATTTATGTATGTATATGCTCTTGGATGATAGGTTTTGTAGTCTTTGTGATTCAAAATATGAGTCTCTGGTGATGGAAAGGAGAAGCATTACCATATGTTTCTCTCTTTGCACACAGAATGAATGTTCACTCTATACCATTGTTGTTATTACTTCTAGTAACTCAATTAGTAATTTATATTTGAAGGAAAATTTTTAAAAATGACTCTTGAGAAAGTATTTACAGTTTTTGTTTTTTTGGATAAGTTTTCAATACTCATTTTAAGTGGGCTTCAGCATTTTTTTAGTCAATTTTACCCAAATACCCTCTAATATATATATATAATTTGAACCAAAACAATATACGTAAAAATTAAAATATTGATTCATAATATTTTTATTCAGTAAATTCAATTTTTCAGAGTATTCATTGATGTTTAAAAAATGAGTTCATTCAATTAAATATACTAAAAAAAAAAATTATACTCAGATGAATCAAGAATAAAATATGAAAAAGAAAATAACACAGTTAGCTAACAGTTCTAATATAACACATATGTAATAAAAATAAAAATTCATGATAATCAAATCTAATCTTATAAGTTATAGCCGAATAATCCAATCAATTAAGTTATAACCCGATAATCCAATCAATCAAAAAATTTGATAGGATAAGTGATAAAAAAAAATTCTACGTCTTATTTAGAGAATAATAATTATTAGCACAATTACACCAACTACATTTTGAAAAGAACAACAAACCCTAAAATAATTTTGATAGTAATAACTAATAAATTTTATAATTAAAATTATAATGTCAAATAATAATCGTAAATTTAGATGATAAGAAAAAAAAAAATTCAGATTATCTGTTTTTCATAGTGCAGTACGACCGACTGAGTCGCTGTCTATCGGTAAATGGTTGCTCCGCTTGCTTTGTTTGAATTGTGAAAAATGTTGAAAACTGAAGATGTAATGAAAACAATCCATTTGTTTGTGATAAAGTCAAAAGTGTGATAAAATATCTTAACAAAGAAATGCTTTTTTTTGGGAAATTAAAAATTCAGTGGTAGAATTGGCAACATCTTCAACCAATCAGAGTAGGAGAGTACAAGTTCTTCAAATATGATTATATATTACAATTAATATATTTTGGATAAAGTACAATGACACCTCTTAATGTTTGTCATAAGGAAAAACATATACAAGTTAAATGTTTTTGGGATAATGACACAAGTTTAAAAAAATTGACAAAGACACCTATGTAATCACCTGCTACCTATGACATATGGAGAATTGACTAGTTTGCCCTTTGACTGTTTAGTGGACCTTTTAAACTTACAACTTAATGTATTGGACCAATCTACCCATCATTAACATTTGATGCAAAAAAGTGGAGAGGAAAAATCTGCACAATAGTGAATAAAAAAATTATAGAAAATTCATTTGAAATCGAAATGGAGCAAACGAAAAAGTTTTGGAAAATAAACTCATGGAAGTATAAAATTGAATATTTTGGTGATGATCGATGTCCAGTAGGTTGTCAAATAAATTAATTAAAAACCTAATTTCAAAGAGTGAAAAATTCTAGACAACAACTGTTGTTGAATTTTTATAAAAATATTTGTTGGGCTAAAAATTATGAAAATTTTCAGAGTAACTTGACATTTAAAGGAAGCTTTGGTAAAAGTTTCATATCAATCGGAATATTACAATACCTTAGAGAAAATAATGAATTTCAGCACAATAAATTGTTGTCATTTCGTGACTCATATTTACTCAAGGATAATTTTGACATCTATCATGTCTGATATTTTACAATAAAATTGGTTTTATTAGTAAGGGGCAATTTTGTCTTTTTAAATCATTTAAAGCCTTGTTTGGAAGATAATTCTGACAGGGGTTTCATCTATTTTTTAGAATATGAAAAATGAATTTCCATATTTTGGAAGGAACATCAAATTCTCTCGTATGATATGTTTAGAAATATATATTTTTTTTTCGAGAATTGTTTATCTTAAGAAATAGTTTTGAAACTACTAACTAACTTAGTTGAGAAAATTTAAAGACGACTCCAATAGATGATAATTAAATTCCTCCTTTTCTATTATTTGCATTGAAAACATGGTTGAGGTTGAGCTATCAAAGCCCTCCTGAGTCCCGAGTACTGATATAGTTTTCAATCCGTCAAAATTAGATCCAATCTTCTTAATGCCACACTGAATTTTATTTTTAATTTTTTAAAATTAAACTGTTCATATAAATAGATAAAAAAAAATTGTACAATTTTTTTTTAAATCACCGGCTCCTAACAAATAAGATGTCTTACATGGACTGCTATTGTTGAATTTTTGCCATATAAGTGATTGGAGTGAGTGTGAGTTGCCACCAATAGTAGTAATAATATAAAGTATTCCCCTTTTGCCAACCAAGCCAGAGTGCGAGAGTTTGGATTTGTAAAGATACAACGCATTAGTGCCACACGATTATTAGTGGAGTAGTGGAGAAAATCAAGAATTCCCACCACAATTTTATTTTATTTTTATCTCATTCTTATGGATAAGTTTGTAGATATTTTGTGTAGGGAAATGCAGATTATACAATGCCAGAATCACATTAGTTAGAAGTTTTATTTCAGCGGTGAATTGATTAATTTTATTATTATTATTATTTTAATCAAAGTCTTCTAGATATGATAAACATGTTACCGAGATGTTACCCATTAATCACTTGGATACAATCAGTGAAGGATTCAGAAAATTATGTCGGGGACGTCCTTTTTAATAACATTTTTTTATTTTATTTTTTTTGATAATTAAGCAATAAAAGAATCTCATTGAACACATTTACAATTCAAATCATCGTAATAAACAAAAATACATTTTTTTTTGGTTCATTGAATCATTAAGAACATTCACAATTGTCCCCGACCTTCATTATCTATGCCGCTAGATATTTCCTTTTTAATAGGTTGATGCTTTAGATTTATTTTATTTATTTTTTTAAGATTCCCACTTAGAACTTGGCTTCTTAAACATTGATAGGAACTTCAAATGAATCTTTTCTGCATCTTTTCAAGCTATGATGGCAACCACTGAGTCCAATTTCGCTGTGGTTTATTTAGAAGGAAGCCTAAAGCCCTAACTGCACTTGCTAGACAGTACGTAACCCCACTATCTGCTGGAGGATACCGGTTGTTGAACAATGCCCCAATTGTCTTGTGCTGAGGAGATAACTGGTTCAATATATATAATAATCTCCAAATGTTGCATGCTCAAAGTTAGTTTTTATTAGAGTGGTGATTTTTTTTTTGCAAGAACTGCCTGGTAAATCATGGGTTGGTGTTTTCTTCAATGTCACTGTTTACTATCATATGCTCATTTGATTGGCTCTCAGCTTAGTTATGTGATCTATAGAGTATAGACTTGGGTGATCTCTTTATTCAATCACAAAATGCCTATTTTGCTTTATAATTTGTGCTGCCTCTCGTTTTCGTTTTGTGACTCATTTTCAGATATGAGGAAGGCATTATCTCGGGATGTCGAAAAGAAGTCCATCGATCATTCCCTTCAAAAGGCCAGTTACTCCGGACGAACTGGAGCATGTTTATTGCTGAACTTGTGCAAACTGAAAGTGATGGAAATGCATCACCCACAGCGCAGTACCATATATGCTCTTGGATGATAGGTTATGTAGTCATTGTGATTCAAAATATGAGTCTCTGGTGATGGAAAGGAGAAGCATTACCATATGTTTTTCTCTTTGCACAGAGAATGAATGTTCACACTATACCATTGTTGTTATTACTTCTAGGAGCTGTTTTGTAACTCAATTAGTAATTTATATTTGAAGGAAAATGTTCAAAAATGACTCTTGAGAAAGTATTTACAGTTTTTGATTTTTGGATAAGTTTTCAAAACTAATTTTAAGTGGCCTTCAGCATTTTTTTGGTCAATTTTACCCAAATAACCTCTCTAACTCCCAATTTAAAAGGCATCTAACTAGGCATAAATACTCCAAACTGCTCATGCCCATGGTCAAACAAGGTTTTTGTCCTCTCTCTCTCTCTCTCTCAAACTTTACTCATTAACCTCTATCCACCTTCCTCTCACTTATTAGTCCTTTTATCATTCATCCCATAAAAGGACTAATAAAAAAATTATAAAAAATTTATTTGAAGTGCAAACGAAAATGTTTTAGAAAATAGACTCATGGACGTGTAAAATTGAATATTTTGGTGATAATCGATATCCAGAAGGCTGTAAAATAAAGAAATTAAAAATTTAATTTCAAAGAGTGGAAAATTCTAGATAGCCGCTTTCGTTGAATTTTTATAACACCAGCTTTTATGATGAACCAATCTTTTCAAGGCTCCATCAACATCTTTGGCCTAATGGCCCACCATATAATTATCGATTCTTTTATTTCAGTTGCTTAAAATTTCCAAGAAAAAAGTTGAATAGAAAAAAGAAACAAAACACTCAAGTGCTAAATCAATGGTGTCAATGTGCGATAAGGGGCATTATTTCATGACTTAATTGATAGAGCACCCAACGACCTAAACAGGTATGTCTATATTCAAATCGATGTGGTCTTCTCTGATAGTAGTTTTTAGTCTCATCATCTATCTTATGGGGGAGTTTGTCAGTCCTATCACATTGTTTTCTTTGTAACCATGCACGGATCTAGTATAGAAGGCAGCACTGTTAAGTATTATAGTGATGTTTTCTTTTTTGAATTATATACCTATGAAATTTTAATATGGCCTTCTAAAACTACCAAAATATCTCCCAATTGCCGCCCCCAAAAACATTTCCTAGCTCCATCCTTGTTTCTAATGGTAATTTTAGTAGTTTAAAATTATCAGATGGTGAAAGTAGTCGGCCTCTTCATTATTTATTTATTTTTTGTCGGTAATTAAGTGATGCATAGATAACTCAGAATAATTACATATATACAAGGGGCATGACCTCCGAAAAAAAAAAAAAAAAAAAACAAAGACAAATAATGGTTAAAGTAGTTGGCTGTTATGAGAATGAGATGTTCCTTCCAAAATTTGGAAATTCATTTTTCACATCCATAATTATCTAGAATTCTCATTATTATTTGCTATTCTAGTATAATTATCTACTGTTTTAGCATAATTATCTACTATTGTTTCTGACGAGTTAGTATTGTAGTAATTAAGCACTCGTTTTGTAGTAATTAAGCATGAATTATTTT